TTAAAGCTATTAAGATTCCGGTGGTGAGGTTGAAATTCGGTGAAGTAGCAGGAGCTAGCTCAGTGATTGTTTTACCTGTTTGTAAAGCAGAGGAAGGTGAAAAGAAGATTCTTGAAGCTCCAATGGAGATCATAGCGAGAGGTGATTTCAAAGTTGTTGAAGCTGAGAAAGGATGGAAGAGATGGGTTGTTTTACCGGGGTGGAAGCCAGTTGCGGCGATCGGGAAAGGCGGTATAGCGGTTTCTTTTAGAGATGATAGAAAGGTTTTGCCTTGGGATGGAAAAGAGGAGCCTTTACTTGTAGTGGCGGATAGGGCGAGGAATGCGGTTGAGGCTGATGATGGATACTATCTTGTGGTGAATGAGAATGGATTGAAATTCGAGAAAGGATCGGTTTTGAAGGCGAATGCGGTGAATGAGAGTTTAGGGATGGTTGTTTTGGTGGTGAGGCCTCCGAGAGAAGATGATGAGGATTGGCAGACGAGTCATGAAAACTGGGACTGATTATAGAATCATATAAAATACTCATTGTCTTGTTATAGATGATTTGAGTCATGATCATGTCAAATTTTGGTATAAAGGTGGAAACTTTTGGTTTTAAAGATACAATCAGAGAAGAAACAGAGCAAAAAAAAATTACTCTGTTTGCTTTCTAGTTCATGTCTTAGGGTAAAAGTCATGCCATTTACACTTTGTCTCAAAAGCATGTTTCACCAATATGTGTATTATTTGGCACCTGAAAATGGGGTAGTAATGACTGATGGAAGGATTCTTTTCTTGCTGATATATGACCATTGCTTTGCACCGTGTGTGGAGGGAAAATACGGATCGTGGGAGTGCTTTGTGGACTGTACTGAAAAAGGGTTTAAAAAAGGAGATTGTGCACACAAAACTCGCCAAGATCCTATTATGTGTTGTTGCAATGCAACCATTGACAAAAATCCACCTTCATCTCTCCAGTGATATGCGATTCAAGCGTTGCATTTCTATTTTTATATGTAGCATCGGGTTTAAAAGACAAACTGTTATCGTACCGATTTGTAATGAATGTAACGAAATAATTAAAACTTTGGATAAAGGAGGAAGCTTTTTGTTGTTCTAAGACGCAATCAGAAGAAACAGAGCAAAGATTTACTCTATTTGCTTTCTAGTTCCTGTCTTGGTGTTACAAATCATACCAATTACACTTTTGATTTGGTGAATGTTCTATTAACCGAGCCATTGCTGTGTACGGCGTTCACCGCTGGATCCTACTGCTCGACGGATACTCATTTTCTCGTTGGCGTATTTATCCTGAAGACATTCGAAAGCTGTAACGTCGAGTTTTCCTGTGACTGATTTACCTTGCTTCCTACGGATATGTTGTTCTCGAACAGAAGCCCAAAGTTTTTCCACTGCTTGTCTCTGCTGTGATGTGAACCTTGACACGTTCTCAAACGCATGTTTCACCAATATGTCTATAACAGTTTGGCACCTGAAAATGAATCCAATCATTCCTCAATTTCGCAATTTTGACATAACAACAAGTTAAATATGCTCATTTCAGTTCAATGGAAAGTTTGAATCATGAAAGCATTCTTACCATGGAACTTTGTAACGACGTGCAGCAATCTCCAGGCATGTAATCAAAGCTTCTCTTTTAGACCTGAGAAATCTTTTATTCTCTTCGGTATCTACATCCGTCGCTAAGTCTTTCCTTATCTTTGTTTTACCGTTTTTCTTCCCACAACTGGGAATCAAAGCATCGAGGCCAAACGGATCGGACTGGCCATCCTCTTGATCTCCAGCTGAAGAAGCTTCAGCCACGTCATGTGTTGTCTGCCCATCTCCAATGTCCTTCACAGCCTCTTCTTTAAGGGCAGCTGCTTCTTCCGCGTCATCCTCCTCGGTCGAAACCGGAAGATCAGATATAGCCTCCTTTAGTTGAGTGGCAGTCTTGGAAAACTAGAAGCAAAAAACAAATTTATATGAGACACTATAAAAGCTTTCAAGACAATAACATCTGCATAACAGGTCATAACACAGTGACGAAGCAAGCTAAATATAAGCAACCAAAGCGAAAGAAGGTATCTGGATTCTTACCATGAAGCTGTCATCAGTGAAGAGATCATTAGCAACAACTGCCTTGATTGTCCATATGGTCAAAAGATTCTTCTGGCTTTTATCAAGGCACTACATGAGATCAATATAAAGGAACATTCATCAATATCTTCTCCTTCTACATATGCTAAATAATTTAGTTCAATATGAGTTTTTTTAATGTTTACCTCAGTTACATCCTGGGCTGCAGAGAACAATGCATGATAGTCTGCTCGAACCAAACGATCCGTACAAGAAGTTTTTGATGACATTGCAGCTTCGAGTATCGCGATGAAGTAGCTGCTTGTTTCCGGCTTCACACTTCCAGCTTGAATCAAGCGTATCGCAAGCTTTGAGGCTTTAGAGAACTTGGAAGGGTTCTTGATATGAGATGTTATTTTCCGCATCGCTTCGATCACTTGTTCTTCTGATGCATCGGTTGATGTCTTAAACTGTAAACGCTTTTTAGGGACTGCGATTGAAGATCAAAGAAAACAACTTATCAAGAGGGAATACCAAATGCTTACTCCTAAGTCAGCAAGTAGATTCATACAAGTTCATCATGGACCATGTTTCCGTTATTATTCTAGATACGAAGTAGAGAATATACATTCAAAGTTCAAACATATGTACCTTCCGGTTCTGGTTGTGGTGTAGATTCTGCTGGTTTTGACCGCTTCAGTGCGCTCTTGAGAAGAGGAGGAGCTGTGTCAATTGAGAACTAAATCAGATCAGTAAGAAGACGACGATGTATTAAACTAACGAGACTAATTTCGATAAAGGAACAACACCAAATTTGGGGGTTTTCTAACTTCACAGCCCTAAGGTAACAAAACGAATCGAATTCAGATCAATTAGACCAATCTCTGTTGGGAAATTAAGCTTACCTGAAACATCGGTTGCAGATTCTGCCGGCTTCGATCGCTTCAGGGAACTCTTGAGAACCAGAGTCGGAGCTGGGGAGGAAATTTCATTCTTGGACTCGTCTGGTTTTGAAGAAATTGGTAGCTCTTGTTCCTGCGAAGAAGGAGGTGGTAGACCTTCGAATAAATTGTCCGACATCTTCTTCTCTCTCAATCTCTTCGCTTCGTCGCCGGAGAAGAAGCGAAGACGGTGGGAGAAGCCGGAGTCGACCCAGAAATTGTGTTCGCCTTATGGGCCTTTTATTAAATATAGGCACATATTCTCGGCCCATATAGATTTGGAGATATATATTTTAAAAAATATATAAAGAAAATTTATTTATCGAAGAAGGAAATATATACATTTCATTTTTTTTTTTTACGTAATTCCAATATATGATACCACAAGTTCTAAAGCCTACATGCATCACAATCACACGAAAATTTGTACATTTTCAGATTGACAATATTTTCTTCTGAGACAAAATATCCATTATTCAATATTTTGTAGTCTCTAACAATTAAAAGCATCCGAAGTTTAAAAAAAAAAAAACAATTAAAAGCATCTTCAATGTTAGTTTCTTATCAATATAATTTTATATTTTAATAGAATTTAATTATATTTTTAAATTTTAATTAAAATTTTAAACTATGAACCACTTAAAAAAAGACATGTCTTTAGAGGTTCTAATGAGTTTCTTAAACAAGAATCTCTTCTCTAAGTTTCTCCAAATTTTTTTTTTTAATTTTAATGTTAAAATATCCAAAAAAAAACCCATTGGGGGTATATCTCCTAATAGACCTTTCAAATCAGACTATAGTGAACTACAATTATTAACAAAGTACTCATTTTTCAAATATATTAATGTATAGTGAAAGAGATAAAGACTTGGGAAAGCTTATAGAAAATAAACACGAAACAAACTGTATGTTTTAGAGGGGTAAATATAAAAATATCACTTTTGGTATGTACATTTGTATAAATACTATTTATGGATGTCCATTTACAAAAATACTATTAATTATAGATTTTTAAAACATAAATCTTAAAATTATAAACCCTAAAAATATTTTGACCTTTAAACCCTCAAAAGTAAATCCTAATACAATATAGTTAACTCAAACATAAATGATATAATAATTTTTTTTTTTTAAATAATATTTTTATAAAATTTTTTTAAAAATAATATTTTTAAAAAATAATATTAAAAAAATAATATTTTTTAAAATTTATCGATTTTATAACATAATTCCTTGTTTCTTCCATTATTGTGTGTTATGCAGTCCCGAGGAGTTCAACTACCCTTTGGCTTTTTGTCGACCTCGATTAAATTATTCAAGAAATCATGTTTTAGCTATATATATGTATAAATAATGTTTTAGTTGAGAGTTGTTGAGTAGGAAAACACGATCAATACAAAACACTAAATCAACGGATTTTTAAACATCGATAAAAAAAAAAAAAATTCTTAAGAAATAAAATTTTACTTTCGAAGACGATTAACCTTTAGACAATGGATAACATGATAACAATCGAAATATAGATAGACTAATAAGAAAAAACCTAATTTAGCTACAACTCTTGACTAGTAACATTTATAAGAATAACCTAACTTGGCTACAACTAGTGTGAGCAGTAACATTAAAATATATCTGCTTTGATTAATTTCTTGCTAGTCTCTTAATTAAAAGTTTCTTACGGTGCGCCAATGTACTAAATTATTCTCTACCAAATATAAGCTTGTTTGACCGCATTACAATGACATATAAGTTGAACAAATAATCATTCTTATAATATTATATAACCAAAATGATTGAAAAATATGTCATACCTATTTCTTTAAGCAGTGTAAATTAACTCAGCTTAATATTAATGTTCTGTTTTTTTATTCAATCAAGTATATGAAGAAAGAAAAACAAAATCTGTTCAAATAGAAAAAAATATATTTTTTTTTTGCTAAGCATGGAAAAAAATATGTTATTAACTCTTGCATGTTGAAAGGGTTGTAAAATTTGTTGTTATTTGTTATCAATTATTATATTTGTATATGTCTTTTAAGATTCTAAAGTTATATTAGGATTTGTTTGGTAAATTATGTGTGTATATATTAACGCACACATACACATAGTGAAGTATTTAATTTAATAATCTCTTTTGAGAGAATCCAATTATTTAAATAGTTAGCAAATCATACATCACCTCCTGTGTGTCATTGTTTAGATATTCGGTTTTATAATTTGTGTAGGTATTCTTATTTCGATCCAATGAATACTGCATAGATATTATATTATAAAGCTTTTATATTCGAAAACCTTTAGAGGTACGTCAATGATTTTTAGATGAATTTCTTAAAA